GTAGGAAACAAAAGTAAGTGGACAGGTAGAGAAAAGATTGAATGAAATTCGATCATAAACATTTTTTCTTAGAGCTGATTGTTACATAACAGTATTTGTGCGAGTGAATTTATAAAGAACAATGTACACTCTGTCTATTTTTTATTGTAGTGTTTGTGCTACCGTTTCAAAGAGCCACAATCGAGCGGTGCTTTATAATACAGTCGGTGCACAAAGTGTTCGTAACATCTTTTAAACGGAATAACTTTTTTATAATCGAACCAAGCGATCGAAATTTTGTTAGGATGTTAGAGGGACTAGTTTACTAGACAATGGCTGAAAAATTCTTTTCAAAGATTGCAATTATTTGGCATGATTAAGGAATAAAAGGAATATTTTTTCAACTTTTTTATCTGAATCTGCAATCTGAATTTAAAAAAAATGCATTTTCCAGATCTTGGTAACTTATATGTGCGTTGAAAATTTCATCGAAATCGTGTTCTCCAAATGCTCCGTCGTCTATTAAGAGAAAACAATGGAAATCCAACAAATTCTTTTAAAGTATTTTTTTTATGATTTCATACAACAAGAACAAGCATTGAGAATTTTTCTAGAACTAAAACGTACGGATCATACCACAAACAAAGCGGTTCAACCGCGATGATACGAAAATTATACAAATCAAAAGTTCTTTTACTTAATGTTTATATCAATAGAAGTCTGAATGGACGTCTAAAGTGAACGAGCAACCGTTTCCTGAATTAGTGCTCGGCAAGGATGACCTACGCGTTACTATATGTATGTATGTATGCATGTATGTACAAGGCGAACGTCCTAATTATATCAACAAAAACCGTGACGCGATGGCAGCATTTCTGCCATCGATATAAGCCGTTCCAGAAAAAAATCGTGTTATAAGTACACCGTGTTGTAGAAGGACTGTTATAATTTTCACACAGTGTTTATATCGAAACCGTGTTCCCGAAGTACCGTGTTAACAGATAGCAACAAAAAGATATCACAGTTTGAAATTAACGTGGTATTTATTTATTTAACATTGTAACCAACGATTTGGTGCGGTATCAGGTGCTGCGATAAAATGGAAATCAAGTTTATGACAGGAAAAGTGAATAGCAAAAGCTATTTACTTACTAGCTATTTAATTTAATCAATTTAATTTAATTAGTTTATTTATTTATCTACAGTACGGTTCAGGTGAACAATATATGTGAAGTTGTTTTGAATTTTGTGGTATTGCCTGCAATTATATCAATTTTTTGTATCGTTTGTATTATTTGTATTATTTGTATTATTTGTATTTTTTGTATATTATTAAGGAATAAATAAACACCGTACACCAAAACGGAATTGCTGGAGAAAAATAAATTTTCAGCGGGGTAATACCGCAAAGAACACATTGTAAAAGTAGAAAAAGAGTACTTACAAGAGTACTAAAGAAGAAAGATACTAAAAGAAGAAACAAAACTGTTCAGCGAAATTATACAATAACTTGAGGAATCTAGATTAAGACTATAATGTTAAATCCNAATCTAGATTGAGAAAATAATGTTGAATCCATAGCGTTTGGAACAGATAATTTAATGTAAAAACTATTATATATATATAATTAATTATAATAATTAATAATATAATAATTAATGTGACTTTTATTTATTTAACATTATAACCAAGGTTTCTCCATTTCTAATTTATTTCTTCAATGTCGTATCTGCTTAATAGCAATTAGTTGTAATATATATATATATATTACATTAAAGAAATAAATTATAAATGTAGAAACCTTGGTTATAATGTTAAATAAATAAAAGTCACATTAATTATTATACTATTATTAATTACTATACTATTTCTTTTGCCGCGGACTGTAGGCGAGTCGACTGTACAAATAAATAAATAAATGAATTCCATGTTCCGCGCGGCCGCTTCCCGAAAATCGTACGAAATCGGCGGCGCAGCGATTCGGTGCAGCAAACGGCCGAGGCGCATAAGACAAGGGGTTCTGTGCATCCAGTGATTTCCCTCGCCTTACGCACCTGATAGAGTCGCCCCCACGCTCGTGTTCCCTCAAACACAAGATGGCGCGGAGTGGTGGGGCCCCGAACGAGTCCCTGTTCTCTCTCGGTTCAGTCGTTGTTCGAACGCCGGGCCCCGACGTCGCTCGGCTTCAAACGAATCCCCGGACCCTCGACGATTCGAAACAACAACGTTCCGTTTCCGCGTACGGCTCTGACCGAGACGGGAACAAAAGAAGGAGGGAACCCCGTGACGGAACAAACAAGACGGGAAACGGTGTGCGAGAATCGGAGACGCGCGAGAATCCATCATCATCGTTTTCTCTCTCTCGATTCGGGTTTTGGCGACCGCGTCGAACTGGGAACCGTGTATCGATTACGGATCGTCGGTGAGAGAGATCGACAGTCGGGGGAAAGAAAAAGGTGAGCCGTGTGAGAGTTCGCCAGGAGAAAGGAGAGGGGATCCCGTGTGAACAAGAGAGAAGAGGCGAGAAAGAGAATTTTTCGGGGAACCGCGGCGACGCACACAGCCAGGCGCTCGCAGGACGAAGAAAAAGCTCGATCGACCAATAAGCGCGTGGTTCGCGCGCGCGATTGGCCCGTGGGAATACAAAACGAGCATTATCGGCCGAGTCCTAGCCTCGCTCCTCCGCTCCGTGGATTTCGGGAACGGGTTTTAGCCGGCCAGCGCTGATCTCGAGAAAGGTATTGTTCTGCAATCGGCCGCGATTCATTTATATTCATCGTTACCGTCTCTCTCTCTTTCTCTCTCTCTCTCTATGCATAATGCGTACGTACGCGATAGTGATCGCGATCGGTGCGTTTTCCGATATGGAATTTACAGTGTGTGTTCTGTGGAAACGGATCTTGAGCCTCCCGAAAACTCGACGACGCCGGCCGAAACATTTGAATCGCGCGCGCGCGCGCGCAAACATTTTCGCGCAGCCACGTATCTTTTCGCGTCGATTCGGCCGTCGACTTTGTGGTTTTACGACTGTAATAATTGCCAGGAGACTCGTAGATCGCTTGGAACGTGTCGGAGTTATTAATGGAAGATTGAAATTGCTATTTGTTCAGACGCATTTCGACGAAACGATGGGAATTTTGATTTTATACGAAAGTCCGACCGTTAATTTCGAAGATGCCCTCTGTGGTCTTCTAATTGTCTTCTGATTGCTTGTTCGTCGGTATCTGTTGAAGATCAAAGTTTCGAGAGATTTTACCGCCATTGAACTATAATTTTTATTCGACACAAAAATGGACATCGTGAATTTCAAGGTGCCATATCGAAAGCTTTTCGTTAAAAATTACACGAAATTTAATGTGCCGAAGAGAAGCTCCGAGAAGGAGCTTAACCTCCAATAAAATCACATAATGTTCCCAGAAATATTTGTTTCGGTAGATATACAATCTAACCGTAAATTAGAATCCTTGCGTAATTCTTTGTTTAAAAATTTCCCTTGTAAAAAGGAACTAGATTTATTTTTATGATCCTTTTTTTTTTGCTTTTAATAATTTCCGTAGTAAAAAGGGACTCGTTTGTGTATCTTTTTCAACCCTAGAACGACCCTTCTGGGGATGCCGGTGACCCCACAGAACTTTTAATTCGTCTGTCAACGTGCAAATAAATACTAAAACATTGATGTTCTATATTACATAACCTATAATATATAATAATATATATTATATATTTAGGTCATTATACAATATATTACAACGCAACCCCATAATGTTACTTACGCCGAAAAATAGAAGGGGTCGTTACAGGATTAATAATTCCCTTAGTAAAGATAATAGATTTTAATGACAGAATATTGAGAAATTTTGATTTCGAAGAAACTAAAATAACATTCTTGTTTGTTTCGTTATTATACGCGAATAAATAAGAAAGCAATAATCTTTCTTGATTTCGAAGAAACTAAATAACATTCTTGTTTGTTTCGTTATTGTACGCGAATAAATAAGAAAGCGATAATCTTTTTACATCGAATCATTCCGTCAAATTAACGCTTTTATAATAATAGAAAGTTGAGTATTTTTCCGGTTTATTGTTCTTATGGGGCGGTTCTTTCAGTCGAACGCCGCGCATCGAAGTAGAAAGGAAAGAACCATCGGTGCCCGATAGAATTTCTAGTCGCGAACAACCGTCTCCTATGATCGATTTATCTCCGAGCCGAATCGTAAGGATGTAACACAGCTCGGAACACTCGGATGTGGATGGTTTACAATGTACATAATCTCGCGCATAGTGACACAGAAAAGCCAGCTCTGACACGTAGAATATTCGGCGTTCGGGTCGAAATACTGTTTATGTTTATGTCGGTGCTCGTACACCGACGTTTGAGCCGTTTATTTTGAAAGTGGCATAAGTCCACTTTACCGTAATGAAAAGTGGTGATTTTTTAATGTTTATACGAAATTATTTATGCTGAGAAAATTATTATATTTAATAATAATATAATTATTATATTAATTATATTATAATAATGATATAATATATTAATTATTACATTAATTATATTATAATAATGATATAATATATTAATTATTACATTAATTATATTATAACAATAATTTAATAATATTATTATATTAATTATATTATAACAATAATATGATAATATAATTATTATATTATAATAATAATATAATAATATAATAAAATTATATTTATCCTGAGATAACAAATGCAAGTAAATCTTCTCGAAAGTTACTATCCATATTTTTAAACGTGTTAGAACGCAAACCCTTAAATATATCGACTTAAAAACAAAGTGACTTATGCCACTTTCAAAATAAACGACTCATTTCTAGCCGACTGCGAAAACGGAACAGGTTGCAGAGACCACAAGGGTTTTATACACGGCCACTGTGATTTCGATGATTCTCTTTCGTGCGAAACACGTGCCGCGTTAACGAATCATTAACCGTCACGGTCCACGAGTGTGCGCGTCTTATTAAGGCCGTGTTCAATCGACCCCAATTGCTTGGACTGCCCTTTCGGATCGATTAATTGCATATTCGTCGAGAGATCGGGTTCACAAGAAATGGCCGATACACGAACTGCTGAAATGCTGGGGATCCAATGGTTAGATCTGGGACGATCAATTATTTTATCGGAGTTCGATTAACCGATCACGACAATTTCTATTTATTATCGGCGTAGCAGAAATGTTGTGTATTGATGTTTTGTCACTGGTTTATTTTCGTCGTCAATTTCTTGACGCCTATTTAACGTGTTCGTTACCCCTTTATTGATGTATTAGCAGCATTTATTGCATCATCCATTTTAAATGTTTTTGGAGAATTATTGCTGGACTGCGGACCTTTGTACAAAATGAAAATGTTTATTAAATAGGTATGCATTTCTCTTGTTGATAGTTGTAATAAATAGAAAAGAATAGAGAATGATTCTTAAAATTTTTCAATGACAGTTTGATGGTTCTCCTGGTTATTTTTATATAGATGTATGAAATTTGCAGTCTTATTATTATGTTATTAATGTAACATAAATGAAATCGGTTTTTAATAGAAAATGATCGGTTAACCTTTCGCAAGTGGCATTCGATAGAAAACACCGTCAGTAACACTATTATCGATCTTTTGTATATGCCTATTTTTACCAAATCAATCTTATAATAAATAATAATAAATTTTATAATTATAGGAAAGGTTAAGAAGTCAATTGAAGGAGAGCGATTGAAAGTAATTTCAAATACAAATTTTAGCGTCTTTTAACCCCTCTGGTAAAAACAGCGTTAAATTTTAAAGGGTCTCTTTTGTTCCGTTTGGTAAAAATAGTGTTATTTGCTAGTTAAAAATTCAAAGTCTGTCCTTTGATCTCTCCGGTGAAGATGACGTTGAAAGAAAATTTTAGGAGATCTTTTGTCTGCTTTGGTAAAAATACTGTTAAATTAAAATCTTAAAAGGCGTTTCGTAAGCCACCTGGCAGGAATAGATAAAAATGCTGTTGAATTAAAATAATTTTTGAAAGTCCTCTGACTCAGACTGAAATCGTCTCCGTTCCTAGAAAATTCTCAGTCGGAAACGACGTTAAGTACTATTGTACGAGGTATGGTGCCGGGAGGAAAGGAAACCGTGAGTCAGACTGTAAATAAGATAGAAACTCGACGAGAGTAGGAAAAATAGTGAACCAAAGAACGTGACCGTGCAACGATATTTAAATACCACAATAAAGATAAATGCGAGACCAGCGTCAGATACGGGTTTACATTTTACGGTTCCCAAAACAAGAAGAGATTTGGAGAATGATTACAATTTTTACAGTCCACCGTTCGAAGCTTTGAAACTACATGATCTACAATTTTCTGAGAAAGAGGTCTCAACAATGATCGCGAAACTCCTTTATAGCGGCCAAAATGATATCTTTTTTAGGTTTTATATTTTGAAAAATATTTTTCCATACATTTATTCAGAATCCTTCAAAGATTCAAAATCCAAAATAATAGTCACTTTAAATAATTATATGCGCGAGGAGGATTATATTAAAACCAAAATTCGGAAATTCAAAGTGAAAACGATTAATCCGAGAACTCATTATGAGGCATGACATAACAGGTTTCTATTAATGTTTTATATATATTAATAAGTATGTTCTTATTATTTAATTAGTTCCTAAACTTTCTATAATCCATGTACGAGTGTCGCAATATTTAAACAATCCAAACTTTGGCAAGGGTTTTATAAAAATCATTAGAAGTGTTAGACATTGGACTTATTTCATCTAAAAGCTTAGGACAATTATAAAAAAGCAGTACGTAAATTTCAAGTGCTAGTGTCTGCTACCTTTAAAGTTAAGCAAATTTTAAGAAACAGATGCCCGCAGTACTAGAGAAAATTTCAACGATTTTTCATACATTTCTGATGATCCGGCAAAGGTTCATTAGTATCTATTTTTTTTTTGCAAGTATTAATATATAAAAAAATAGAAACAAAATTTTTCTTATAAATAATCGAATTTCGATATATTTTACTTCATAATATTACAGTTGTTGCCGAGACGAATTTTACTATGCTACAACTGTGTAATGTAATCAGATTTAGGTAGAAATATTTGAGAAAGTATTGGAAATTGTTAATGAAATGCTCTCGTTTGTATGAAATAACATTTCAAGATACGTTTGACGTTACAGAGATTAATACATGTATTGAAAATAGTTATTTATATTGTGGAAAAGAAAATTGAAGCGACATTTTCTTAAGATGTACTGGAAATAATTTGAAATTCCATTTCTTACGTTTGATATTTACGAGAGAAAATAAACCTTTCTCNATAAAAATCATTAGAAGTGTTAGACATTGGACTTATTTCATCTAAAAGCTTAGGACAATTATAAAAAAGCAGTACGTAAATTTCAAGTGCTAGTGTCTGCTACCTTTAAAGTTAAGCAAATTTTAAGAAACAGATGCCCGCAGTACTAGAGAAAATTTCAACGATTTTTCATACATTTCTGATGATCCGGCAAAGGTTCATTAGTATCTATTTTTTTTTTGCAAGTATTAATATATAAAAAAATAGAAACAAAATTTTTCTTATAAATAATCGAATTTCGATATATTTTACTTCATAATATTACAGTTGTTGCCGAGACGAATTTTACTATGCTACAACTGTGTAATGTAATCAGATTTAGGTAGAAATATTTGAGAAAGTATTGGAAATTGTTAATGAAATGCTCTCGTTT